GTAACCCTCCACTCCCGGTTCAAGTGGATTCTCCTGCCTCAGCCCCCGTAGTAGGGCTGGACTTTACAGCCGCGCAGACCCACCCCGGCACGGCCTCTTATTTTGTATTTTTAGTATAGACAGTTTCTCCCATGTTGGTCAGGCTGGCCGAATCCCAACCTTCAAATCCACGGCCACCTTGGCGTTCCAAAGGTGTTGGGATTAAAGGCTTTGTGATCAGCTGCCGTGCCTGGGTCTAATTTTTTTTGTTTTAAGTATAAATGGTTAGGAAGCGCGGTTGCAGTGGCTCCATGCCGTGTAATCCAAAACACCTTGGAAGGCCATAGGCAGGTGGATCACTGGGGAGCGGTCAGGGAGTCCTAGAGGACCAAGCTGGGGCCAGTGCCATGGGTGGGAAACCGTCTTCTTTACTAAAAAAACCAAAAAATTCTTGGAGGCCCGTCCTGCACCCCACCTGGAAAGGTGAGGAGGCTCCTCTGCCCAGGCCGGCCGCCCCATCTGGGATGTGAGGAGCGCCACTCGCCGGGCCATCCCCAGGGTCTGGAAAGTGAGGAGCCCTTCTGCCCAGCTGCCAACTTGTCTGGGGAAGTGAGGTGCCCCTCTGCCGGCTACCCACCATCTGGCAAGTGAGGAGCTCTCTGCCCGGCCGCCGCGCCCATCTGGGAGGAGTAGAGACCTCTGCCAGGCTTCCCACTGTCTGGCCAAGTGAGGAGCACCTCTGCCCCGCCGCCCCACCATCTGGGAAGTGAGGAGCGCCTCTGCCCGGCTTCCCACCGTCTGGCCAAGTGAGGAGCACCTCTGCCCCGCCGCCCCACCATCTGGGAAGTGTGGAGTGCCTCTGCCCCACTGCCCACCCTCTGGCAAGTGAGGAGCGCCTCTGCCCGGCCGCCCCATCTGAGAAGTAAGGAGTACCTCTGTCTGGCTTCTGCCCTGTCTGGGAAGTGAGGAGCGCCTCTGTCCAGCGGCTGTGCAACCTTCCAAGTGTGAAGTGACAGCCTTGTGTGTGATCTTTTCTGTCTTCCCCAAGTTTGCATTTTCGACATTAAAGCTTACTTTTTAATTAAAAGTTTTAAGTTGGAGAACATATTTAAGAAAAAAATTAGCCAGGCCTGGTGGTGCACACCTGTAGTCTCAGCTACTTGGGAGACTGAGGCAGGAAATTACTTGAACCTGGAAGGCAGAGGTTGCAGTAAGCGGAGATCACACCACTGCACTCCAGCCTGAGTGACAGAGCAAGACTCCATCTCAAAAGAAAAAAGTATATATGTATAGGAAAACAACAATTTTTTAAAAAATTACGCAGCTGGGCATGGTGGTTCACATCTGTAATCCCAGCACTTTGGGAGGCCAAAGAGGGCAGATCATTTGAACTTAGGAGTTCAAGACCGCCCTAGGCAATATGGTGAAACCCCATCTCTACAAAAAATGCAAAAAAATTAGCCAGGCATGGTGGTGTGTGCGTCTAATCACAGCTACTTGGGAGGCTGAGATGGGAGGATCCCCTGAGCCCAGAAGGCAGAGGTCACAGTGAGCTGAGATTGACTCACTGCACTCCAGCCTAGGTGACAGAGCCAGATCCTGTCTTTAAAAAAAAAAAAAAAAAGTAACTCTAGGATGGTATGCAATACAATCATCACAGGTCACAGGTCACAAAATTTTATACACGCCATGTATATATGAACGTACAATAATCACAGCTATGAAATAAATACATAAAAGACTGAAAGGAAATGCACCAAAACCTAAACCTAATAATCATTTTGCATTGCAGAGGTTGGGGTAAGGGGACTAAATTTGTTTATCTTATTTACAGCATCAATCTTTTCTTAAAAAAAAAAAAAGAAAAAGAATATTTATTACTTTTATGATCAGAAATAAATAAAAGTAAGTTTTTAAAACAATAAAGGATACTGTTTTGGACACTATTCTCTATCCAGGTAGGGTGAAATTTACCTAGCACACTGTTTACTTGCGGAAGTGGTATTTTTCTGCCCAAAGACACTTTTGATTGTGTATAATGGAACCCGAGGCCAAACTTCTATCCATAATTAAAGTAGAGGAAAGATGTGCTTCATGCTTTACACAAAGACGTCTCTTGGCTGATTTAAAAAAAAAAAAGAAAAAAAAAAAGCTTCATCCAACCCAGGGCTCTCCTGGACAGGTTGCCACTCTGCAACCCACCCCAACCCCACCCAACCCCCCTTGCAATCATTGACTCAGAGAAAACACTGCAGCTCAGCAGTCCCTCACCCAGCAGCACAGGGTTTAACTCAAATGGATGGAGGCTTTTCCTGTGCCAGGCTCTCCAGTAAACACTTTAAATGATTAACTCATTTAACCCTCCCAGAAGGCAGGCACCCTCAGTCTTTTCTTTTTACAAGACAAAGCACACTGAGGATGGGGGTAGTGGGAAGGTTGGGAAATCAGGTTATCCCGGTTCGGTTTGCCTTTACTCTCCCCTTCTCAGGAGCCTAGCCCCCACCTAGTGACGAGTCAGTGTGGCCAGCCCAGCACCAGTCACAGTTCCTAAATTTGCTCTCCACCAATGGTGGAGACTCAGAGACCAAGGAGGCTGACTGTGCCTCACAGCCTCATTAGACAGTCAAGGAATATGAGCTTCTGGCCCTGAGAAAGGGATGCTGCCACTGCTCTTTTTTTTCCTTTTTTTTTGAGACGGAGTCTCACTCTATCGCCCAGGCTGGATGGAGTGTAGTGGTGCTATCTTGGTTCACTGCAGCCTCCGCCTCCCAAGCTCAAGCAATTCTACTGCCTCAGCCTCCCGAGTAGACTGGATTACACGTGCCACCATGTTCGGCTAATTTTTGTATTTTTACTACAGACAGGGTTTCACCACGTTGGCCAGGCTGGTCTCAAACTCCTGACCTCAGATGATCCACCTGCCTCAGCCTCCTAAAGTGCTGGGATTACAGGTGTGAGCCACCAGGTCCAGTCTGCTGCTGTTCTTTAAACCAGGAATGCTGACCTATTGCTGAGATACTCCCAGACAAATCTGGCAGGGGGTAAGAGGAGGAGCAAATGAATATATCTAGCATAGGTCTTCTATTCATTTTCTATTTAATTATAAATTCAAGTAATTTCAGTGAAGAATAGTGTTCACAGCTCAAGTTTATACTATACCAGCACAAAGTTTTAATTCATTTAAATTTATCCATTCAATGAATGGCAAGTACAGAAAAGGCACTACCCTAGAAATATGGCAGAGGTGTTACCAAGACAGCAGGAGCCCTAGTACAGTATCACAGCCCCCAAGGAGCTCACATTTTAACAAGGCAGCACTGACCTGCTTATCAGATGTTTATGTATCTCATTGCTTACAATAGGCAAAGTGACCTCTTCTGAATTCTAGAAACAAAGGTCATACTTACATCTGCCCAGATTTTCCATGCTTCTTTTGCTTTCTTTACAGTTTCTTCATAGTCTGCCACACTGGCCTAAATTAAGAAGTAGGGGGACACAGAGGGGGAAATAAAGAAAAGTGATGACAATCTTCTAGAACACACAAATATTTTCAGAAGAGAATTGGAAAATCTCTAGGGTTCTCTAACATTTATGGCTGAGAATGATTCCCACAGTCTACACTCCCCAAAACTAGCTAGAACCCGGTAAAACAGGTTGGAATCCAGCTATGCCTTAAAACCTTGCTTTTCAAAGCAAATCTGTCAGCTTCATCTGAGAACAACATGTGAGGCACATTAGAAATGCAGAACCTTGAGCTCCAACCCAAACTTCAGAAATCAAAAGCTTCATTCTAACAAAATCCTCAGGTACTTCAGAAGCACTGTCTTAAATGGCCCTCTGCCTAGTCTTTCTATGCTTCACCTTTTCTATGGTTCTTTCCTTTTCACGCCCCCACCCAAGGGAGGACAGTCTCCCCCAGACAGTCCTAAATGTCAAATGAAAAATAAACACATTATTCTCTGCATTTGTGATTTTGTATTATTCTTCACCTGCCTAACTGGCTTCTGCCTCTGAAGAAAGCCTGCACAAACTCCTTGTGTGTAATTTGAATTAAACACACACACACACTTACCTGTCGGACTCTTGCTATTGGCTCATTGTTAGCAGGGCAATAGGTCGTAATAACCTTAAAACAAAAGGATGATGATCATGTATAGAAAACGTAATCCCTTCTGAAGTAAGGGAATAGACTAAACTTCAGGGGAAAGAAAAAGAAGAGAGGAAAAAATGATATAATATCCAAACTCAAAAACCTTAGGTTAACTTCTGTTACATATAAACCACTCTACAGAGGTTGTCTTTCATTTCTGACTTAAACATTAGAAACTACCTTTACTGCAAAACTCTCCCCTGACATCTCAATATTAGGTGTATAAACAAAAGCTTTAATGTAACCAGTTATTTTGCCTCTTTTTCCATTAATAACAGCCCAAACTGACTAGTTTTAGTTATTCCTTCTCTCCCTTACTAGTGACAAGTCATCATCTCTGCTCAGAGATGAAATGGCCAAGGTGGGAAAACCATGGGAAAGGCCTGTGTCCACACCAGTTGGAGAGGTCTCAGGTCAACAATGAAAGGGAAAATCAAGGCACAGCTAAAAAGGCCTAATGATCAGATATCACATGGAAATCAAGATTAAACACTGAGGTTTGAGGAGCAATTAAAATTATCTGTATCTCCTACAGCCACTAATAACCAAAAGGAAGAAGTGTTCCCTTTACCAAGGCAGGTTCATTATATAATATACAACGTCCAACAAAGTTTAACTGTTATATAACATCTTCCTATAAAAAATTTTCTTTTTAAAAAAACCTGGGCGATAATAACCTTACCTTTCCTTTGTATTCTATAAAACGTTGTATTGAGCAGTAACGGGCATCAGGCGCGGTGTTAAGCCCTGGGCAACGGAGAAATGCTGAAAACCCAGTCCTCAAAGGAGTTCACAACCCAACGTAAAACATGGCAGGATTTCAGCAAGTCCGAGCTTGCAAACTCCCAGGGAATTCAGGAAGAAAGATAACTTTAAGCTACACTGAAGAACGTTACTTGCGGTGCATGTCACAGGTGAAGAGCCAAAGTTAAGCTCTAAATTAAGATCAGTTGCACCCCTCAATGTGCCACATTTCTCACTACAGATCCAAGACCACAAGGTTTTAAATATGAGCGGGAAGTTTAGGCCCCTACAGCTCCAAAATGACTGCGGTTCTGCATAGGGCACAAGGACCTAAAATCTAAGTTTTCATTTTAAAGGCACCCTACACGAGAAAACTTGTACTGTGGAGCTTCAAAATCTCCCACTCTGTACTACCTCCTTCAGCGCCAGCGGGGACTCGATAGGTCAGTGCCCGCCCGGCCTCCTCGAGCGAACCCCGGCGGCTGCAGAGATTTCTTAAGCGCCCGCATACCTCTCCCCGGCCTCCCCAGCTTCCATTATACACGCCCTCGTTTTCCTCGCGGAGCCCCAGCTCTTTCAGCCACGCATACTGGGGTTGATTGATGAGGAGAGTGGACATGAAGGCGGCAGGCCTGCTCCAAGGTCCGGGGAGCTTGCTGGTCTTTGCAGCGTGCACACACAGCGCGCGCGGTAGGCGCCACATACTGAGCTCAGAATTCGGAAGGAGCCTAAGGCCGGTCGAGTTGCTGAAATAGAGCCCCGCCCCCCGCCAGAGAGAACCCATTGGGCAGACCCGATCCCTCCCACAGGGTACCACCCCGCCACCGCCCGGTCGGCCCCTCGTCTTCCGGAGATGCCTGCGACTGAATCCTGCCTGGAACAATGGGAGTGCCATAGGGAGGAGTGGGCTGCTGCCATCTGGTGAAAGACTCCGGGAGCCACGGCTCCAGCTAGGAATTCTTTTCAGCAAAATATTGGCGCTGAAGTATAGCATGCTATAGCAGGGGTTCTGAAACTGTAAAATGCATGAAGTTACCTGGTGGTGGTGGTGAATGCTCATTCTGATTCAGTAAGTCTGGGCTAGGGTCGGAGAGCCGACATTCCTAACCAGCTCCTTAGCGATGGCGATGCCTCTGGTCCCTGGGGTAGCCAAGAGAGGGTTTGTATTGAGGGGCGGGGGAAGGGTTGTTTGTTTTCACTGTTTTGGTAAATTACAAATGAAAGATTTGTAATTAATGATAAATATTAGATTGTTGCATTTCCTCTATAAATACCCTGCCTAGGTAAATTCTTACTTTATTTTTTATTTATTTATTTATTTTGTTTTTTTGGAGACGGAGTTTCGATCTTGTTGCCCGAACTAGAGTGCAATGGCGCGATCTCGGCTCACTGCAACCTCCGCCTCCTGGGTTCAAGCGGATTCTCCTGCCTCAGCCTCCCGAGTAGCTGCGATTACAGGTGTGTGCCACCACACCCAGCTAATTTTTTTGTATTTTTAGTAGAAATGGGGTTTCACCATGTTAGCCAGACTGGTCTGGAACTCCTGACCTCTGATCTGCCCACCTCAGTCTCTCAAAGTCCTGGGATTGCAGGTGTGAGCCACTGCATCTGTCCTATTCTTGCTTTTTTTTTTTTTTTTTTTATAGGGAGCCTTGCACTGTCCCTGGGGCTGGAGTCCAATGGCTCAATCTCAGCTCACTGCCACCTCCACCTTCTGGGTTCAGGCGATTCTCCTGCCTCAGCCTCCTGCGTAGCTGGGATTTCAGGCGCCCACTACCACACTTGGCCAATTTTTTGTATTTTGAATATTGAGGGGGTTTCACTATGTTGGCTAGACTGGTCTCGAACTCCTGACCTTGTGATCCACCTACCTCAGCCTCCCAAAGTGCTGGGATTACAGGTATGAGCCACGGCACCCGACTCTTACTTTTAAAGAATAAAGACAGTTTTGATCAATTTCTTTCATTCTCCATTTCTTCTGTCTTCCTACACTATCCTTTCACTCATGCATGCCCCATCTCATTTCACAATAACTGGGCCAACCCTGTAAGATGGAAATACTAATATCTCAATTGGCATTATTTGAACATGAGTTTAAAATATGCTTGCCCATGCTAGAGTGCCGTGGCAAGATCATGGCTTACTGAAGCCTCAACCTCCAGGGCTCTAGTGATCCTCCTACCTCAACCTCCTGAGTCGCTGGGACTACAGGCATGCTACCACACCCAGCTAATTTTTGTGGGTTTTTTGTAAAGACGGGTTTCCCCCATGTTGCCCAGGCTGGTCTGCACCTCTTGGCTCAAGGGATCTGCCCACCTCGGCCTCCCAAACTGCTGGGATTACAGGCTTGAGCCACCGGCCTCCCAAACTGCTAGGATCACAGGCTTGAGCCACTGCTCCTGGCCCCTTTCATCTCTGCATTCAAGCATGAGCTTTATCTCTTCCACCCTTATAATAAAAATGATTTGAACAAACACTCTGCATGTATCAAGCAGCTACCAGAAACTGCAGTTAGTACTAGGCATACATGCAACATGCTTCCTTTTGTAAATGCTACGGTTTTTTCCTATTAGGGCAAGGACCATCTCTGACTCGTCCTTGCATTGCTCCACAGTTCCTAGCATTGTTCCAAGTTTATGCTCACTTATATGAGTGTATGAACAAATGAACCAATGAATAACACCTTCGAAGGAGTAGCAATGCCCTATCTGACATCGGTAATCTCTATCAACAACCCTGCTGCTGTCTTCCATCTACACGGAGGACCACAGTGCTAATTTTTCTAATTTTAATTCTCAGACTTCTTTTGTGTGTGTTTTGTTTTGTTTTGTTTTGTTTTTTGAGGCAGAGTCTCACTCTGTCCCCAGGTTGGAGTACAGTGGCGCAATCTCAACTCACCACAACCTCCACCTCCCAAGTTCAAGTGATTCTCCTGCCTCAGCCTCCTGAGTAGCTGGGACTACAGGTACGCACCATCACACCCAGCTAATTTTTGTATTTTTAGTAGAGACAGGGTTTCACCACGTTGGCCAGGATGGTCTCGATTTCCTGACCTTGTGATCCACCCACCTCAGCCTCCCAAAGTGCTGGGATAACAGGCATTAGCCACCGCACCCAGCTAATTCTCAGACATTTTAACTGACTCTCATCACTTTCTATCAGCCAACAAGATTCTTTGTCTGCATATCCCAAAACCACATTATTTATTCTTTTCTCTTCCATTCACTTCCACGAAATTAAAACACATAGACAGATGCACTGAGGATTAGGAGCAATACATAGTGTTCTCAAGGAGTGTTGGCTTCCCTCTCTTCAAGTCAAGAAGAGAAGTGTGGCCATCCTTCTAAACCAATTCTGGCTGGCTGGGCACAGTGGCTCATACCTGTGATCCCAGAACTTTGGGAGGCCAAGGTGGAAGGATCACTTAGTGATCAAGAGTTCGAGACCAGCCTGGCCAACACGGTGAAACCCCATCTCTACTAAAAATACAAAAATTTGCCAGATGTGGTGGTGCACATCTGAAGGCCCAGCTACTTGGGAGGCCGAGCCTGGAGAATCGCTTAAACCCAGGAGGTGGAGGTTGCAGAGCACCAAGATCGTGCCATTCCATTCCAGCCTGGGGGACAGAGCAAGACCCTGTCTCAAAAAATAACTAAATAAGCCGATTCTGGGAAAATAGGCACCAGCAACTGCTCACACTGAAAACAGGGATTGCATCCTTTTTCTACCTTGTTTTTTCAAAACTCCTGTTAGCCCTGCTTAACAGGAGTTCAGGAAAAATCAGAAATGATGAATTGTAATGAGGCTGAGCAGGAAGAGACAGAATTAAATGAATCATATATGAAAGCACTTTGAAAACTGCAAAGCCCTATAGAAATGAAAATGTAGTGGCTAAACTCAGGACACCTTAAAACAGTTCTGTATTAAAAGTGGCAGAGGAACCAGGTACTGTGGCTCACGCCTGTAGTCCCAGCACTTTGGGAGACCAAGGAGGGCAAATCAAGAGTCAGGGCGATCAGGAGTTCGAGACCAGCCTGACCAACATGGTCAAGTGCCATCTCTACTAAAAATACAAAAATTAGCCGAGCCTGGTGGTGTATGCCTGTATTCCCAGCTATTTGGGAGACTGAGGGATGAGAATCACTTGAACCTGGGAGGCAGAGGCTGCAGTGAGCCGTGATTTTGCCACTGCACTCCAGCCTGGGAGACAGAGCAAACTTGTCTCAAAAAGAAGAAAGAAAGAATTTAATAGACAGGAGGCCACCCACGCCGTGTGGGAGACAGAGTTATTACTCTAATCAATCTCTTGGAGAATTCAAGGACTAGTGTTTTCCAAAGATAGTTTGGGGAAGGGATGGAATGGCTAAGCAATGGGTTCTTGCTGCTTACTGGCTGGGGATGCAGTCATTGGGGTGTGGGAAATTGTCCTCAAGCAGGTCAATAGCTTCTGTGTGGGACCACAGAAGCGGTTAGAGCTTCAGGTGGAACCATTGGTAGTCAGACATGCAAAATACCTGAAAAGATATCTCAAAATGCCAATCTTAGGGTCTACAATAGTGATGTTATCTGGAAGAGTAACTGGAAAAGTTGCGTACCTTGTGACCTCTGGGATAATGACTGGCAACGGTTTATGTCTACACCTTAGCAGAATTCAGCCACCTTTATCCTTCTACCCTGGTGATTTCTTATTAGCTTTACAAAGGCGGTTGGCTTTTGGGGAAGGGTTATTATCATTTAAACTATAAACTAAATATCTCCCAAAGTTACACTGACTGGCCCAAGCCCAGGAATAATTAAGGGCAGCTTGAAGGCTAAAAGCAAAATAGGGGTTAGCTAGATCAGATCTCTCCCGCTGCCGTAATTTTCTCACTGTTACAATTTTTGCAAACGCGATTCCAAGATAATCTTTAAAGAATGGGGTGGGTTGAGGGAAGGGCCTTCCAGGCCGAGTGAACAGCAAATGCAGAGGGCTTGCCTGAGGAACAACAGGTTCAGCGCACCAGCGGCTGGGCAGGGGGACACACCGGGACCAGTGACCTGGTGCCCAGTCCACATAACCTTGTTTGCCATTGTAAAAAGTAAAATAGAGGTTCCTCCTCTAAGACTTTCCTCCCCATCTAATTAGGAATAAATAGTAACCTCTCTTAAAAGCAAAATTTATTCAAAGACCTGTGCTAACATTCTTAATATCTGCTAGCTATAATAAAATAAACGTACTTTATGTTCTTAGCTCCCACAATTTAGCCTAAATATTTGCCCTGGCATGCTTATACTAGTCCAAGCAAGCATTAGGTCATAGCCTGTTCCTCTTCCTTATTTAAAAGTGTTTTTATCTTTCTCCACATTCCACAAGGTATTTCTTCCTTCCTTTGTTCTCCTCTACCTTTGCCTCTTTTAAAAAGTTCCAAGTAGCTAGCCAATCCCGAGGAATACAAAATGTGAGGTCCTGTTCCAGCCAATAAAAACCAGCGACAGCAGTAAGGTAAACACCTCAGCTTATAAACGACCCTGTCTCCTTTGTTCAGTGTACTCTCCTGGCAAAACTGCTGGTGGGCGTACCCTTTCTGCAGAAAGTAAAAATGGCCTTACTCAATAAATTAAATTTATGTTCAAGTGCTATTTCTTTATGACACCGAAAAACAAACATTTCAAACACCATGCTGAGAACTCAGTCCTTGTTTTGGGGAGGGGTGCACTTGGAAGATTCCAGCTAAGGTACAATCGTCCCTCGGTATCTGCCGGTCATTGTTTTCAGGACCCCCACAGATACCAACGTAGGCCATGCTCGAGCCCCTTATATTATGTGGTGGTGCACAGTGCGTCCTTCCCATCCGCAGGTTTGGCATCTGTGGATAGGGAGTGGATACAGAGGGCGGACTATACCGCTTGAAAGGCTTCCCTGGAAGCAATATGTAGTGTGGGTAGCGGAGGAGCAAGAATGGAAGCAGGAAGGCTTGTCCACAGCATACAGGCGAAGGATGTACGGCCAAGGGGGGAATCCCAGACGACCGCGATTCGTGACATATTTTTGTTTGCACGAAAATAAAGTTTGAAAGAAAAGTGTTGGGGGAACAAGGGATTCATTTTCCCGCGGTAGCTGAAATGCAATGGCTACGCCTCAAGCCGCTGCAACATGCTGGCCTCCGTGCGGGGGCGCCCAAACAGGCGCGCCTCCGGGCCTTCCGGCCGCACCGCCGGAAGTGCTCTCCTGACCCTCCGCCGCGCAGCTCATCGCACCGCAGGAAGATGGCGTTGGAGGCCGGCGACATGGAAGATGGGCAGCTTTCCGACTCGGATTCCGACATGACGGTCGCACCCAGCGACAGGGCGCTGCAATTGCCGGTGAGTGTGAAAGGAGGGTGGGTTATCGTGGCTGGGCGCGCCGAGCCTGGGCCACGGGAAGCGCGCAGGCAGCGGTGAGGGTGAGGGGTGAGAGCTAGGAGCCCGGTCCGGACCGGGCTGCTGGGTCAGTGGCGGCAGAAAGGGCGAGCAGGCGGCCCCCGGGCGGGCTCACGGAGCCCGGGCTGCAGGGGCCGGCAGCGAGGGGCGGAGGCGGCGGCAGCGGCTGGGTGTGCGAGCCCCAACCTGGCGGCTCCCTGCGAGGCCGGGCGCGCGAGCCCTGGCGCCTCCTGGAGGCTGGTTTGGCGGCTGTCTCTTGGCGGTCTCACCTCCACCTACCGCTCTTTGTTTTTTTCTAAACTTAGGGCTTCCCCACTCCAGCGCCACTAGGTGACCATTAAGGGGCAGATTTTGCCAGATGTATAGCATCTGGGGACATCGGCCTGAAACGGCCTGAAACAGCCTGTGGTGCTCCTTTTCTCCCTGAGACGGAGACTGAGGCCCAGGAATGAAGTTTATCAGAGTTCACTTAAAGAGCTGGTTTTCCTTGTTTCCACCGAACCTAGCTTTGTCATGCGGTACCATGGCACTAGGTTTTTGTGCTAGCTTCTCTGGTTTTGTTTGTTGTTTTAAGACAGAGTCTCACTCTGTCACCCAGGCTGGAGTGCAGTGGCGCAGTCTTGGCTCACTGCAACCTCCGCCTCCCGGGTGCAAGCGATTCTCCTGCCTCAGCCTCCCGAGTAGCTGGGATTACAGGGGCCTGCGGCCACGCCCGGCTAATTTTTATATTTTTGGTAGACACGGAGTTTCACCATGTTGGCCAGGCTGGTCTCGAACTCCTGCCTCAAGTGATCCACCCGCCTTGGGCTCCTAAAGTGTTGGAATTACAGGCGTGAGCCACCGCGCCCAGCCTAGTTTTTGTATTTTTATTAGAGACGGGGGTTCTCCATGTTGGCCAGGCTGGTCTTGAACTCCTGACTTCAAGTCATCCACCTGCCTCGGCCTCCCAAAGTGCTGAGATTAGAGGCGCGAGCCACCGCGCCGGGCCCAGCTTCCCTGCTTTCTAAACGGTAATTTGTCTTGACTGCCTTAGTAGGTAGCAACCTCTTTGAGGGGGCTTTGGTGCCAGATTGCCTGTGTTCAGATCCTGGGGCCACCGATGTGTGACCTACAGCAGGTTTATTTAGCCTCACTGCTTTTTGTCTCCATCTATGGAATGGGCATGATGTATCACTGATAGGGTTATTGCAAGGATTCTATGGAGCATACAGTGCGCGGTAATGCCTGAAAAGTGTTATCTCTGATCATTATTTGAAGATAGTGGGAGATAGATCCTCCCTACTTGCATTTCCAGCGTAGTAGGAGTTTTAACAAATACAAATACTTGCTTTTGCATATAAATGTTTAGGAAATTAGTACCAAGATATTTTGTTTTTCAATCTCAGGTTGTTTTTACATAAATTGACCCATGACTTGGTAAATAAACTTAATGCTGTGGACTGTGGGGTTTTAAAAATATGCCCAGGCCGGGTGCGGTGGCTCACGCCGGTAATCCCAGCACTTTGGGAGGCCGAGGCAGGTGGATCACGAGGTCAGGAGATTGAGATCATCCTGGCTAACACAGTGAAACCCCGTCTCTACTAAAAATACAAAAAAATTAGCCAGGCGTGGTGGCAGGCGCCTGTAGTCCCAGCTACTCGGGAGGCTGAGGCAGGAGAATGGCCTGAACCCGGGAGACAAAGCTTGCAGTGAGCCAAGATCGCACCACTGCACTCCAGCCTGGGTGACAGTGCGAGACTCCCTCTAAAAAAAAAAAAAAAAAAATCATGCCCAGCCTAGGCAATATGGCAAAACCCCATCTCTACAAAAAATGCAAAAAAAAAAAAAAATTAGCTGGTTATGGTGAGGGTTGCCTGTAGTTGCAGTCCCTCAGGAGGCTGAGGTAGGAGGATTGCTTGAACCTGGGAGGTTGAGGCTGCGGTGAGCCATGATTGCTCCACTGCACTCCAGCCTGGGCCACAGAACAAAACTTTGTCTCAAAAAAAAAAAAAGTAACAATTATTATGTATGTCATTTTATTTTTTATTTTATTTATTTTTTTTTTTGAGACGGAGTCTTGCTCTGTCGCCCAAGCTAGAGTGCAGTGGCGCGATCCTGGCTCACTGCAAGCTCCGCCTCCCGGGTTCACGCCATTCTCCTGCCCCAGCCTCCCGAGTAGCTGGGACTACAGGCGCCCGCCACCTCGCCCGGCTCATTTTTTGTATTTTTAGTAGAGACAGGGTTTCACCGTGGTCTCGATCTCCTGACCTTGTGATTCACTCGCCTCGGCCTCCCAAAGTGCTGGGATTACAGGCGTGAGCCACCGCGCCCGGCCTATGTATGTCATTTTAAAACATTCTGACAATAACTGAAAAGTTTGAAATCTTTTAAAGGTGACAAGAACTTTGGTAATATAGTAAAAGGATATCTTAGAACAAAGTGCTGCATTAGTTGTAAAGATAAGAATTTGTGGCTTTTAAATTGGCGAATTCCATGTGGTACTTAGAAAAGTAAGGATTTGATTGGTCGCAGACTTGTCTTTGAAGATCAGTTCCTTTTGGAATGGCGCAGTTGAATCTCTAAATTTTTAAAAATTAGGTAGGTGGAGTTTATGTGTTTTGTGAAATGGATTGTGTTTCTTTTCACTTGCAGAAAGTGCTAGGTGGCGACAGTGCTATGAGGGCCTTCCAGAACACAGCAACGACATGTGCGCCAGTATCACATTATCGAGCTGTTGAAAGCGTGGATTCGAGTGAAGAGAGTTTTTCTGATTCAGATGATGATAGCTGTCTTTGGAAACGCAA